TTTATTGTTAGTTTCAGGTGTACAGAACAATGCAATAGTTACCCTTTTCACCCTCACAAAGTAACAAATCCCCACCCCCCTTCCACTGCCCTCCCACCCCCATATCATGCTTATCTATTACAATTCCATTGAATCCGTTCCCGCACTCTACTCCGTGTTTCTTGTGGCTTCTTTATATCCTTAGTTATAGGACTTCTGTTCAGCTAGACTTCAAGTGGTTTTCCATGATGGCTGTATTATAGTTTTGTTGTAATTTTGATGTCATAGGAGGAGGTGAACACAGGGTTACCTACTCTGCCATCTTGACTTTTAGTCCTGGAAATATAGTTTTCTGTCCCTTCACTCTCAGCCTATGTATACATTTAAGGCTAAAGTGAGTCTCTTGTGGGCAGTACATTGTTGAATATTGTTTTTTAATCCATTCAGCCATTCTGTGTCTTTTAATTAAAGAATTTAATCCATTTACATTGAAAGTAGTTATTGGTAATGACTTACTATTGCCATTTTAAAAATTGTTTTCTGGCTGTTTTGTAGCTCTATTATTTCTTGCTGCATTTTTTGTTTGTTTTTGTGCTTTGGTATCAGTATGCTTTGATGTCTTTATCATGTTCTTTGGTATAATTACTACAGATTTTTCTTTTGTGGTTATCATGAGGCTTATGTAAAATATCTTAAAATTATAAATCCCTGTTTTAAACTGATCACTAAACTTTGATAGCAATCCTAAACTTTAAACTTTTACTTACCCTCCCTCTACATTTTAGGTTTTTGATGTTAGAGTTTACATATTTTTTTATATTGTGTATCCAATAAGATTGTAGTTGTGGTCTTTACTGTTTGTTTTTGAAACTTGAGAGTTGTAATTACACAGCACCATTACCATATTACAGGATCTAACCTTGACTATTTTTTTACCATTACTAGTGATTTTTTGCCACCTTCTTATGTATTTATGATGTTAATTAGCATCCTCTTACTTCCACTCAAAGAACTTCCTTTAGCATTTCTTATAAGGCAGGTCTACTGGTGATGTACTCCCTTAGCTTTTGCTTGTATGGGAAAGTCTATTTATTTCATTAGAAAATTTAAAAAAGATTTTAAATTACATTTGACATCAATATTATGTTTCAGGTGTACAGCACAGTGGTTAGTTAGACATTTATATAACTTATGAAAGTCTTTTTGATGGATACAGGATTCTTAGATTTTAAATTTCAGCAGTTTGAATGTATCATTAATTTTATTAGGTTATTTACTTTTTTTAGAACTAAATTTTGGGCTTCAATTTTTTTCCAATTATATTATCTGCTATTTCATTGATTTTTCCTTTATTTTTTCTCACAGTTCAGTAGTGTGTGTGTGTGTGTGTGTGTGTGTGTGTGTGTGTATTTAGAATTGTGCAACCATCACCACTATCTATTCTAGGACACTTATTTTTATTTATTTGTTTTAAAATTTTTATTGGGGAATAGTGTGTCCCTCCAGGACCCATCAGCTCCAAGTCAAGTAGTTGTTTCAGTCTAGCTGTGGAGGGTGCACCTCAGTGGCCCATGTGGAAATAGAAATGGCAACCCCAGCATTATGAACACTGTGCCCTGCGCTCTAACTACCTGAGCCAACCAGCCATCCCCGAGGACATTTTTATCACTCCAAAAGAAACTCCATACACATTAGCAGTCATTCCCCAACTCCATCCCCACCCCAGCCCCTGGTGACTGCTAATCCCATCTATGCTTTGCTGATTCCAGACATTCCACATAAATGGAATCATATAATGTGCAGTGTGTGTGTGTGTGTGTGTGTGTGTCTTAGTACAATGTTTTCAAGGTTCATCCATGTTGTAGCACGTATCAGTAACTCATTCTTTTTTATTGTCAAATAATATTTCATTCTATGTATATACTACATTCATTTATCAATCCATCAGTTGATGGACACTGAGGTTGTTTCTATTTTGTGGCTACTATGTATAACATCATGATATCCACAATAACACTATGAATATTTACCAAAGAGTTTTTGTGTGAATGTATGTTTTCATCATTTCTCTTGGGTATATACCTAGGGTTGGAATTACTGGATCATATGCTAACTCTGTATTTAACATTTTGAGGAACTGCACAACAGTTTTTCTAAAGTAACTACATATTACATCCCTACCAACAATGTGAAGGTCCCAATTTCTCCACATCTTTGTCAACACTTATTGTCTCTCTTATTTTGGACATCCTAGTGAGTGTGAAATGGTGTCTTGTGGTTTTGACTTGCATTTCCCTCATGACTAATTATGTTGAGCATCTTTTTGTGTTTATTGGCCATATGTATATCATCTTGGGAAATATATCTCTTCAAATCATTTGCCCATTTAAAAATGTTCATTTTTATATTTATGACTTCCTTATGTATTCCAGATACAAAATCCTGATGAGATACATGCTTTTCAAATATTTTTCTCCCATTCTATAGGTTGTCGTCTCCCTTTCTTGATGGTGTCCTTTGACACACTAAGATTTTAATTTTGCTGTCCAATTTTTTGTTGTTGTTGTGGTTTTGGAATTCTAAGAAACAGTTGCCTAACTCATGGTCATGAAGATTTACTTCTGTGTTTCTTCTAGGAATTTTACAGTTTTAGCTCCAATAATTAGATCTCTCATAGATCAATTTCAAGGTAATTTTTGCATATGGTGTGACCTGAGTCCAAATTCATTCTTTTACTGGGGAATACCGCTCTTTTTATCTTATTATTTACTTTCTTTTATTAACTCTGGCTTTCTTGATTTTGAGATGAAGCTTAGCTTTCCAATTTCCAAACCTACAACTTTTCTAGAATATTTACTGAAAGCTATACATTTCCCTCTAAGCATCATTTTACTTACATCCCACAGTTTTTGCTATGTCCTTTTTTCATTATCATTCAGTGAAAAGTATGTTTTAAATCCCATTTATAATTTTCTTCAACTCTTGGGTTATTCAGAAGTGTGCTGCTTAATGTCTAATCTTTTGGGGATTTTCTAGACTTGCTTTATGGCCCAGCATATAGTCTGTCTTGGTAAGGTCCCACATGCACATGAAAAGAAAAGATATCTGCTGTTTGGTGTGGCGTTCTACATCTGTCAATTAGATCAAGCTAAGGTTCCAGTCATGCCGCTCATGTGAGTAAGGACACCTCCACAGTCTCCCAGCTCAGCCTCCAGAATGAGAAACTGACCAGCCATCCCCACTTTGCTCTGTTCAAACTCCTCAGCCACAGACTTTGTAAAATGATTGTTTTATGCCATGAAGTTTGGGGATGGTTTGTTATATAACAATAGTAAGAAAAAAAATACTATTGGGTTGTCGGAAAAGTCATGACGCATTTTTTCTGTTTTTCGTTGCAAAAATGCGTCATGACTTTTCCATCAATCCAACATTTTGTAGGTTTAAACATAGGTTGGATGTTTATGAGAAAAAAAAAAATCTAAGCTTTTTCATAATCCTAATGGAATTTAGGACCCAAGGTAGAGGCTTAGAGAATTAATTCCAGCACAGTGTGTATTTCATATACATTTAAAAGCAGACTAACCGAAGAATGGACGTTTTACAGTTGTGATTCAAGTGGCCAGAATGCATACTCCTGAACATACTTTTACAAAAAGTTATACATAAAGTCTTGTGCCACTATTCCCTATGCTGAAATCTACTTATTATAATTGTTAGAATCTATTAAAATAAAACAAATAATAGCCAGACAGATTCACAGAGGAAATACACATTCAACTATACTGTGAAGGAAGTTCAGTTGTGAAATTCCTAAGAGGCGCTCAATAATTGTCTGCCTGTAAAGTGAGGCACAGTGCTGGGCCACAGACCTATCAGAAGAAAGTACGAAAACCATGAGGCTGGGGCTTCTGTGCCTTTGTCCACTGGGCCACACAGCTGCCACCCAGGGTCCAGTGCTTCTGGCTGTGTGAGTGAGGTACAGAGCTTGTGGGTAAGGTTTGTTTGGTCTCCTTTTTAAGGTGGTGTATGAATCCATTAGACAGTTTTCCTGTGTTGTGTTCTCAGGGTTACTGGGCAGAAATGTTTAAAACAATGTGCTTATTCTGAGCCACTATTGTAAAAAAAAAATAAAAAAATGCACGGTACATTTAAAGAAAAAAAAAGTATTTATTTAGGCCATCCACTAGGATTGTAATAAATAATGCAATATACTAATGTAATAACAGATGTTTCCATGCATTTATCATATTTATAAATTTACAAGAAAGCTGGCTTACAGGGCTGTCGGGACAAATTTAGAAGAGTGTATTTGGCAATACAGTGAAAGTTAAGTGTTAAAACTATCAAACATTCTCTTTCCTATCATTTTTTTAAAACACATCCTCTACCACTGAATAAATGGTAATGTTCCTTTGTAGTTTCTTTTTATAAACATGCCTGAGCTAAGCCAATTGTCAAAACAATCCAAGTTGATAATGTGTTATTTATCAATATTTCTAATGAAAAACAGATTTTAGAAAAATAAAAATGAACTCTTCTGCATTTCAATGTGGAGGCTGATATACTGCAAGCCAGAATCATTTAAACAATAAAATATGCCTGAATGAAATAAACCCCAAAGTAGAAGTTTATAAGTAGTAAATTTGATACTCAGAATACAAGTGCTATAGTATTATGATGTTTATAATTTGATAAATGACCAATTATTTGACTGCAGTAAGTGGTGAACTTTGATTGATTGAAGCTTAATTTTGCTAGTAAATTTCACACAGAGTTAAAATAGGGTACCTTTAACATAAATAATTTAAACATATCTTAAACACTGAAAATGTGTTCTTATGTTATTTACAATTAAGCAGTGATACCAGTGTATAGCCAATTGCCTCTTGCATCCCTTTTTCAATATCTGCTATTACAATCTTCCTTATAAATACTTATGCAAATCAATTTAGTGAAGGAGAGCGATCTGTGGTCCAGAGTAATTCGATGTATGGCCATTTGGTTTGGAGACAGCGTTTAATAGGGGTGTCATCTGTTTGTAGCATGGGATCTTCAAAACCCATAATAACGGCAGTCCCTTCCACATACATTACCTGTTAAACAAAATAAAGCCACCAAGGTCAATTAACATACTCAGTACATTTTTGAGGGATACAAACATTTTCGTAGGCTAGCAAATGAGGCATTGGATATTGTTTCATATGGAACTTTACTATGATAGAAATTATGAGCGAGAATATCTGCTTACTGATTGTGAAAATAAATTTGGAAAGAAGATGGTGACACATTTTAATGGCTAGGTGACCAGTTGATTTTTAGATTTTAAGTTCATGATTTAAAAAGAACAGCAAAAAATCCCCAGTTTCTTTCTCACAAAAGACAAAAAAGAAAATCACTCTTCAAATGACATATACCACTTAGAAGAAATTATATAATTTATATAGTTCCTACTGTTTTTTAATACTGAGGCCCTCAGACAGTCATGCTGCCTCACGAAATGAAAAGCTCTATATATTCTGAGGACTTAATTTTCTCATTTCAATTTAAGCACTGAGTTTCCAGAGCTGAAAGCAATCTGGATGTTTGAAATTTGCTATGTGTTGTATTAACTACTTCGGAAATGCTGTTCAAGAATGTACTGCAGGAAAAATCATGGAGAAAAAATTAAAAAGGATGTCAGGACTGAAACAAAAATCAAATAAAAAGGCTGATACGTAAAATTAACCAGGTGCTTTATATGCAGGGGCAGTGATAATATCTAATATAAACTGGCAGGTGGGTGTTAGAAAAACTATTATTAATTTACAATACAAATCTTTTAGAAGTATCTATGAAGTAACTTAAACCAAATGCTAACTCATTATAAGGATGCACTATACACATTAGCCATTTAGTCTTTCTTTTTGTCCCAAGAGAAATTCCCATTGTATAATTTAAAAGGAACAGATCTAGACAGCCTTCTTCCAAAGTATGTATACTTAATTACAATCACATGTATTTATGTGTAAAACTATGTTTTTCAAATATAAAAGCCATAAACTATTTGACTAAGGAGCTGAAACAACTTTATTAGCCTTAAACAGGAGTTCCCGTAAAAACACATTAAATATAGGAATAGAGTATATTAAGTCAGATGATTTGATTTTATGAATCTACCTCTTTTGTTAAGGAAGCTCGAAATATTTTAAAGTGAAATACAATATTTTCATCTTTGGTTAATCATTAGTTTCTAGTTTTGATGAAATGAATTTACTATTAAAAACTACAACTCATGCTGATTTTCAACTCCAAGTAAAACTTCCTTTTCTGAAAAATTGTCCACAAAGAATATAACTCGGGATGCAATAATTAGCGGGTAAGACAGGACCTACCATCCCACAAGGCGCCCGGGAGGTCCTGTGCGGGCACAGCACTGTGACCCGGCTCCGTGGCCTGAGCCTGCTGGGTCATGCTGCCTCTCACCGCGCCGGCATTCTCCTTTTGTCTGTTCCCTGATATTTTAACAGTACCTCAGGTGGCGGACTACCGTATTTCCACTCCCGAGTAACTGCCTAACATTACACGTCTGCAGCTTAAGGGCATACGTGCTTTGCTTTACAGTTCTTACATACTATTGTCACATTAAATTTCATCTTTGGTTTCTGATCTTTATGTTGGTAGGTCAGACCTTGTCACGAGCATGATTTGAAAACTTACTTTATACAGTAGTGTAGCCAAGCAGACCAAGGACAGGAGTGGGAATCAGGGACAAAGTTCCAGTCCCTGCTCTGCCAGTGACTTCCTGTGTAACCCTGGGTGAGTCACTTACTAATCTCCCTGTATCACATCCTAGTCTGTAAAATATGCATACTATTTGACCTACCTCGTAGCGGGTGTGTAGGTGGATAATTAGTGACTGTGAAGTACCTCCTATTACTAGGCTATGTAACATTTCAAAATCTAGATGCTCTCATTAACATATATTAGGAGATAGCACCCAAGTTGTCTTATAGATAGCAAAAACACTAATTGTCAATATCAATAATCGTCACGTGAAAAGACCTTTAGATCTAATTTAACAATACTTCTAATTTATGTTCTATTAGACAAACTTATTTTCATGTTTATTTGTTCTAACTAAAATTATGTATTTAGTGTACATATTGATCTATTTTCTGTAGCCATCCTCAATTTAGATAATTGTGAAATCAGCATAGTTATTTTAAGTGAGAAGGATATGATGTAGCTAATATTGGAAAGAATAAGGGCCTATCTATTGTGACTGTTACTTGAATAAATGCAAACATAATAGCTATACTGTTTGTATCGACAAAGCTAACAGTTGATCAAAAAGGGTGAATCAGTGAGACCAACTCTTGAACTAAACAAGGTGAGTACAGTGGAAGTGAATCACTCTCGAGGGGAAGCAGCAGAGCACAGTGGGTAAGCGTGCAGGCTTCGAGGCGGACGACCTAAGTTTCAGCCCCAGCTCTGCCCTTTCCCGGCTGCTCGACACTTAGCAAGTTGCTTACCTCTCTGTGCTTCAGTTTCCTCTTCTGTAAAACGCAGGTAGACAGACCATACTCACTTCATAAGGTGGAGCGAAAACTTCAGATAAAACACAGTACCTCATACAATTCCAGGTAAATGCTCGCTATTATGGCTATTAATTTAAATCCTTCAAAATGTTTTTCTCAGTCAAAAATCTATTACCCCTTTCTTCACTTGAATGGATCAGTAACTTTCACCGGACAGAACAACAGTGTTGATTTAGTAATATCTACACAGCCAAGGGTAGCACCATGTATGTAGATGTAGCTATTTTGTCACAGTGCAACTATTGCTCCAAAACCCCAACAAAGATCTCACCGAGTATTAGAGACTGGTTAAATAAAAATATGACCACTTCTAAAATACACTGTAATAGTAAAGAGACTCCTGGAATAATCTCCTTAGGTAGTAATTTTGTGGGAATCAAACATTGTTACATATTCACATATTTTATCAACCCAGGTGAAGATACATTGCGATGTGAATGAGTTACCATACCTTTTCATTATAGTTTGACTGCTTCAGTCCGTTGTAGTGGTAGACAGTGAAAGACTCTGGACCACTGGAGCCCTATGATATAGAAAGTACTATTAACACTTTAAAGTATATCTCTATATCATCAGGCAATTGCTAATTAGCAATCGAAAGTAAATGTAAGTTTGTTCAATCTTCATCTTTTGATGGGGGAATCATTTGATAAAACAAGAAACTTAGATTTATGCAGTTAACTACCTGAAAATCTAAAAGCCTGAAATAGTTGCTTCTGGGGAAGAGGCTGGAAAGTGGGGAAGTGTTGACTTTTCTTAGAAGGTCTTCTGCACTACTGTATTTTATGTTTTTACCCTTGTGTATGTATTACTGTAACTTTATGTGTTTTAGAACCTTGTTCTCTAAAAACAATCAGTGCTTAGATTTTAATAACATTCAATGAAGAAAGGATATCATATAAATCAGTATACTAAACTTTCAGAAAAACTGATCATGTTATTCCCACTGTCTTAACCTTGGTTCTCAGTTGGCTAAAGATCAGGTTCAACTGTCCTAACCTAGCACTCAAGGCCGTTAACGGTCCGGCCCCGCTGAGTTCCCTCAGGGCCTGTGGCTGTCTTCCAATGGATACAAGGATGGGAATACAATTTGGCTGGGCCTGAGTCCCTCCTTAGATTTTTTTTTTTCCAAATGAAACTAAGGGAAGAGAGCGGCTGGCAAATGTGGGTAGCTTCAGGTTCCTAGAGAAAGACAGGCTGAGAAGATGTAGCTACTGTGGAGAGAGGAAGCGCAGGCGATGGGGAGACTGCGCCAGTCTTGGAGGATCCTGGAGCTGCTGCTGCTACCTGCTGCTGCAAACCCTGAGCTACTCCTCCCAATGCATAGCTTTCCAGCCCACTTAAGTCAGTTCAGGCTGGGGCTCTGTGACTTGCAACCAAGAATCCTAAAACACAGGCCCCAATCTACCTTTTCAGTCTTATCTGTAACTACTCACCTTTCTGAATCCTTAGCCAAGCATATTACTTATTTTGCCATGAAAAGACCTTTTGTTGTGCGCTCTTTGCACATTCATGGCTGTTTTTACTCCTCTCTCAAATGCCTTTCTCTCTCCCTCTTATTTTCAAGACCTGGTTCAAACCTGTAAAGTTTCTCTTGAACACACTAGTTGGGTTCTTTATGACTTGGGACCTTTATAATAATAATTGTCTCAGAAATTAATTTGGGAACAAATCATATGCTACTTTGTATCATCTCTTCAGTTATTTTGAAAGATTGTTTAAATTTTTAACTTTTTAAACTTTTCATTCTTGTATTCCCAACTAAAATCCAAGTTGTCATGATTTTTTTTTTTTGGTATCCTACTCAAAATGCTTCCCAAAAAATAGAGAAATCAATAATTTATTTGGTCATTTCCTTAATTACATACATGAGTCAGATAACTTTGCTGTTGATTTCAGAGGTAACGTACTTTAACTTACAACATAAAGATTTACTATAATTGAATACAATTTATATTCTCTAGTTCCAGTCATTACCAAATACTGAAATATCAAAAGATTGTGTAACAGTCGGAAAGTGCTTAGTCTCGGGGGTTCGGTGACCTATGCTGGACTCTTGAATCAGACACTTACTAGCTGTATGGCCATAAGCAGTTTCTCAAATTCTCTATTTCTCAGTTTCCTCATTGCCAAAATGGGGGAAAAATAGTACCTAATTTATAAGACACATTAGTACATATGTAACACATAGTAGCTGCTTCTGCTATTCTTATTATAAACAAATTGCCTTGAAATGCTTATGAATATTCCGGTTTTTTGTTTTGTTTTGTTATCCCCCTCTGCCTTATAGCAAAGAAATGCTCTTCCATAGCACCTATTTGAAGCATTTGTAGATTACTAAAGTTAAGTATTTTCCTGGTTGTCCTTCTGATTGAAGTTTTGTCACTTTACCTAATGTACTCCTGGTTGATTAAGTGTATACTGAGTGTCACTATATTGGTCTGTTAGGTACCAAGCAGTATATGAATAATGGCCAAAATGAGTGAGAGTCATTTTATACTTTGTGACCACAGAGAAAGAGGACATCAGTGGTGTCAGCTATAGTCAGAGAGGTCTGAGCTTACAGGGTGAGAATGGGACAGGTCCTTCTCTAAGTGGGTCTCAAATCTGGGCACCACCAGAGTCCCTGCAGGGCTTGTTCAAACCAACTGCTGGGCCCCACCCACAAAGCTTCCGATTTCTTAGGTCTGGGGAGGACCTGAGAATCTGCATGTCTAACAAATTCTTGGAGACTGCATTTTGAGAACCCATGGCTCTAAAGGGAACTAAGAGCAGGATCACGTGCTTTGGCTGAGGACAGCGCATGAAGTACAAAGGGGCAATGAGATCAGTCAGATGCAGTTTGTTCAGAAGAATAGCAGGAAATGAGCAAGAGTAAGAGACGAACTTGGACAGAACAAACAGAATAACGCAATGGAAGAGTCTGTCATCTGTAAAAAAGGGGACTAGAATTCTCTTTAATCACCTCAAGAAATACTAAAATTAAATAATTTCTTGAAGTAATAAGTTCTTGGAATAACTGTAAGCAGCATCATGGAATTAACTAAACATAAGATATATATTTCCAAAACAGTTGGTACCTAGCTCACTTTGTTTACATTTCCCAGCCATTTTTTAAAATCTTCCCAAAATTAAATTAAAAACAAATATCTTTTTATTTCCTTATAGTAATAACTAAGAAATCAATATTTCTATAACACGTTCTGACAGCATCCTTGAAATAAATTAAAAGTAAAATTAATATTGTTTTCTCAAAAAACGTTTAAAATGCTAAAATTTATTAAACATTTATTAAAGAACTTTTCAAAAAACCCTGGGAAGTTGGAAAGTGTGACCAAACAGGACATCACAATCCACAAGTCTTGCTAATAATGTCAAAAAAAAAAAAAGATATTTCTGAAGCATTCACCAAAGATTTAAAAAGTCTAATAGCTATATTGTGATAGTCTTAATTACTTTTAGAAATTTCCCTCACTCGTTTTCTTTACTCACAGTAACCATAACAGATGGATACTGGTTTAGAAAATATGGGTCCTTTTTCTTTTTTTAATTCCCAAGGTTAAATGTTAATAATATTGTCTACTCTGTAAAAGATAATTTAAATCTGAGACATCAAATTAAGAATTTTATCTTGACATTTTCCCCTCTATCATTTTGTTACAAATTTTTCTGCTAGACAACACATCTCATAACAGGGGTGGAAAATACATTAGCATTTCTATTAAAACAATGAACTTTAAACTATGCTGATATCTGATGAAATGATCACGCTATATGTAAATAATTTGGTTTATGGTAAATCTTCCACTTAGAGAAGAAACACAAAAGAAAAGGCAGGTAGGTGTAGGCTATAGAACTGGCTTGCCAGTGACGTAGACGTTAACTCAAGAGGACTGACACTAGCACCGACTCTTCTTAACTGAGCTCCAATCAAAGCCCCATGGGAGACGTGCCAACATGAAGCAGCACAGCTCCGCTCACAGGTCCTTCTTGTACTCAACTAAAACTCTCCTGGAACTCAGGTTCACTAGTAGAAGCTCTCCCCACATGCAGGCTCCTTTACCTTCTCTCTAGTATTGGAAAGTTCTAAAACGACACATACCAATCTATTAACACTAGTTAGCTGAGAGAAGGAAATGGGCGTGGGAGTGGATAAACAGAACCTTTCTTTTTTGACTCCCCATACTTCTGAATTCTATCCTTCCTTTAGAGAAACAGGGTCATTACATGTGTATATCGGTGTAGACACTGCCTTCCACCATTCCTCTCCCCTGGAATTCTGTAGCACTGGATTGGAACTCACATATCTTTCTATCCTCTCTCTATGGCAAAGTATCTACATGGTAATACTGCTTTTTTAGTCTCATACCTGCATGTTAGAACATTTTTAATGAGTAGGAAAAAAATGCTGAAACAATCACAGATGGTCATCCCCACAGAACAAAACAACAAATATATTTCTTCAACTATGTTACCTGGTCAGGAAAAAATTCTTGAAGAAATGGACCCAATAATATGATTCCTAATCCTTCTGGATCTAATTTATTCTTCATGAGATTTATACTGTGGGGAGAAAAAAAAAAGTAGTGGATACAAAAGGAAAAAAAAGCTTATTTTTCTTCTTTCATGACTAAATTACTGGTACTATAACACTCTGACTGCCAAAAATCCTAAGAGCTGTTCTTTTTAGCCTCTTAATGACAAATACACAGGAATGACATCTAATTTGCCAAAACTGGGTTATTTTTAAACCAGAGTAATCTGTTACTATTTAGAATTTAAATTATGACGATGACTTTGGAATATTGTTCCTTATTAGGTAAAGTAATTTAAAAACCTAGGCTTATAAACGCAGGCTTATAATCTCCCAAAGGCAAACTCTCTTTGCTTCATAGGTATGCCTAAATTTAACAATCAGATGAGGCATTTAACTTAAAAAAGTGTTTATTTTAAGCTGAAGGAGAAAAAGAAACAGAGTTGAAAGGCAGTGGTATATCAGATAATCAAAAACATCTCCTAAAAACTTACTTTCAAGAACCAAATGGAGGGCTTAAAATTCTTAGACAATGGAACTCGAAGGTTAAAGAGGTGAGATAATTCTCAAAGAGCTAAAGTATAGTGAATTATAGCAAGTGGTATGTACTTTATTGTTCCAGTAGCAGCCGAAAGTGAACAGTGCTTTGCATGGCCCTTACCATCTGGGTGTAGCCAAGGCTGGTGAAAGGTGCTATCTATGACTACAAAGAAGGCTGAGAAAAGTAGACTGCAGTTTGAAGAGTTTTAAAGATGAAAACTTTCTGAAAAGAAAATTTTCATTCACCATGTTATTACCCAAACTGTAAATGCCAAGTTCAGTATCCATTATTAAACATACAAAGGATATGACATTTTAATAGGTCTGAGTAAAGCCAGGTTATGACATGAAACAAATGAAGGCAAGGTCATATTATATTTAACACATCTAATTCATTAACCCTGTTAATTTATGGGCCATCACATTATAAATGTGACTAGACCAAAGTACAGAGTGAGTCTAACCTTTCAGCTATTTCTAGAAAAACAATTTAACTCAATTGTACTAACTTTATAATTAAAGGTATGTTTTCTGATGAAGCAAAGAAAATTAAGTAGATGATGTATAGCTATCTAGGAATTTGAAAAAACAAAACAAAACAAAACCCCAAAACTTTCCCTTTCTCCTCCTTCCTGTCTTAAGAATTGTCAGTAAGCAAAATTAGCTGAGTTCAATTCTCTTTTGCAAATGAGAGTAATGAAAACAAGATGGTCTTCACTCGAAATCAGTTTAGAAGAAATACGGTAATTACCATTCTACCATTTATTGACTAGTTCAACTCTCTCTGAATTTTTTCTCTTTAAGTTAGAAACAACAATTACATCTAACTGTAAAGAACAGATAACGTCACAGCTCTAGGTAGTACGACTCAGGTATATTAATTCAGATGTGATTAGTTTCTAAATATTTTTATATGTTTTCATAGTTTCAAAGAAAACACACTGAACTATTTAAAAACAGAAGTTCTAAAAACTGTATCAATATATTTTATGTTGCTTTTGCTGAATCCTTAAAATGTTTTGTAAGGTAAAGTTTATTCATTATCAGAAAAACTTTCAGAAGGAAAATAAAATTATGCAGAAGAAGCAAAAGTTATTGTAAATCAAAGGTGAGGTTTCCTTCCATATTTGATCAATAGATGTAGCCACTTAACAAGAGAGATTTTCTCATGCCTGAAAAGATCTCAAGTTTTTGGAAGAAGTTATAAATGTAACAATGTACAGAACAGAACAGTGAGGCGGAAGACAATGATGCAATATTAATGTTAGGCAATACTTTAATTCTTTCAATAATGAAAAACTATAGTCTGTGATATTCCGGGTCACTGAGAAATGTTCAATGTCTTTGATCAAATGTTTTTAAGACAAAGTCATAGGCCTGCAGCTTATTTAAGCAGGACTACTAGCAATACAAAGGTTATACAGACCTCTCACCACTTTCACTGATGCTACTAAAGATAGGTAGGTACAAAATGTAAAAAATTTTTCTCACAGTGAGAAAAAATATTCAGTTTACTGAAAAAAAAAACATTTTTTTTTCTTTTTTTAGCACTTTAAAAATCAGGACAGTAAGTGCAGAGTGGGAGAGGAAGCCCATTTAAAAGAATGTCAAACTTCTGTGATAACACTGAGTGGTCGCATGTCTTCCTCAAGTCTTGGCTTTATATAAAGTGCTAGGCTTTGTATATGCAGGGTTAGATTTTTTAAAAAGGCAAACGTGTATAATGTTTTAAATTCAATGGAATTTTTGAGTTGGTTAAATAGCTCTTCCTATGTACTTACTATTCAGGATCTGAAACAAGGTCCAAGGCTTTCATCACATCTTCAAGAAGCGAATCGGGTATGAATCCATTATCTGGGGGAAAAAAGAGGAACAATTTGGAATAAGAGTTTACTTCAAGAAATGCTGTTATCACTGATCAGATTCCAGCAAAAAATTATATAAAATGGATATGAAGAGTTAAAAAACAGCTTATTAAGTTTATTGTAGGTACAATGCTTATTCTTGTTAGACATTCCCTTTTATTAGTTTTCTTGGGTACATAGGCAAAGATTTATTTTCAAGGTTTCGCATAAAAAAAATAAATAACCACCTAACAAGGAAACCTTAAAGCCAAATTACTTCTTAAATGGGTTTACAAATCTAAATAAATTTTTTTCTACTCAGTTATAACACATATTTTGTAATTTGATATATTTTTCAATAAACAATGTGCATCTTTAAATTCCGTTTAAGAAATGCATTTAAAATAATTCTTTACCAATGAATTCCTTTCGTCACAATGTTGTTTAACTTCTTGAAGAACATTAATGATTTTCTGTTATTTAGATAGCTGACAATATAAGAGCAAGAAAAGATATCCCTACAACAGCCTTCATTTAAATAAAAGCTGTAGGTTTAATGGGAAAAAAATTCAAAGTTAAAATGCAGAGAAGAATCAAATGTTGATAAAGCCTAGTTTGCGGAAAATACTCCTTTTCCTTGGGCCTGATGAGGAAATAGCACTGGCAATTGGCCCAAACTCGATGCTGCAACAGAACGTGACACACGAGAAAAAACTTGCAGGACAGTTTGCAATCACAGTTTTATTCCCTTAAATGTACAGTTCTTCTACTCCTTTATTCATTCCTAAAGGCTGTCTCAGCTGTAAGTCAACTTCTAACACAATATCCTTTTCGGGGATTAGATAGCTTAAAAAAACAAAAATCTCATGGAGAACAAGATGTCCAAAAGCCTTGCTTCCATAATCAAACTGCAGAATCAAGTGTAGCTGCCCTTTCAGGATGTGGCATGTACTGCGTACTGTCTCTATCAGAAAGAAAATAAAGTAGTTATGATTTTAAAAGGGTGTTTGCTTAAGCCTTATAAGCAGATGTTTACCCATTTGACTGGCCTTGACTAAAAGGCTAAGATTCATTTAGGATAATTAAAAATGTACAATTTTTAAAAGTGAAAGTTCAGAATAATTCCAATTTGTCAAGTGACCGATAGTTGGAGGTATAGAGAATAAAGAACTTGTTTTAAGGTTTGTAAGCCTAATTTTGATGAGTCTGAAAGGTAGAAAAAAATATCTGTTTTGTTTAGTTAAGTCACAGCCTGAAGCTTAGCATGTCTAAATGTAAAACAGGCAGTGTTTGGCCACTAGCTGGCAGGACGGATGACATGGACGGGTTCCTGTGTTATGGACGGGTTCCGGGCTGTCACGTACAGTAGTATATCCACCTGACAGAAGCAGTGCGTGTCACTGTTCTCAAGAGCACTGAGGGGCGGGCAGCCTTAGCTCCTCTTATCAGGACCTGAGACTCAACTCCCACCCCCAGGAAGAGCGAATTGGCTGTATAAAGACACAACAACTAGGAAAACAGCAAAGCGACTTTCTTAACCCAAACACGATGAACTTCAAGCTTAAACATTCCACCCCATTTTTTAAGGAAACTATGAGATGTACAACTTGTAAACATCTCCTGGAGGGCAACGATGACTATACTAAGCCCGTGACCCTACCTTTTGTTCATTACAGTATTTTAAAACTAATATAATTTTCTTAACACCTCAAAGATTTGTTAATATTCTTAAGATTGGAAGAGATCAGGAAACTGCATACCTGTTCGGAAACATTTATTTTGATGTTACATTAATTAAACCTATCAAGACAAATTCTTGATGAAATTTTTGAACAGGAACAGAATCATTAAGTCTAAAACCAGAGGAAACTTAGATCAGCTAGTATTTAGTCAACTGATTCCTTAGAGAATATGGAAATAGAGACACAATGATGACCAAGACCTCAATCCACAGCAAAAACAGCAGAGGAAATCTGAGTACAACTGGTTGACTGGTCAGCACACCTAAGGAGCGCTAAATGAAAAAGTAGAACTTGAATGTGTGTGTAAATTAACCACATGAATATAAAATGGGCTTTGACAGGCTTGAAAGCTAAGAATGGGGACCACGAGGAGGGGAGAACAAAGGGCACAGCAGTTGTGATGGTAAGCAGCTACTGTGTAAATATTCAAATGAAGTTAAATTGGTTTCAAAGCATTTAGAAGAGAGGAACAAAGCTGTTTGTTTAAAAACAAGGTTTTCTTTTTAAACCAGCAAACTGCCTGAGAAGTGCCAAGCTCCCAGCAGGTGGGAGGAGGAATACCTTCGTGCAAGAGTGTGGTGATGCAGACAGTGCAAGTCAGGTGAGTTTGTATTTCCTGGGTAAGAAAAACCTTTCGTAACTGTGGAGAAATCAGAGCTGGACTTTAAGGAGAAAGAAGTACCAGTCCTGGTTTTCATTCTGAAAGAGCCTGGCAGGTCTCTTTTAAGTGAGGAACGAGTTAAAGGGGGTGCTGCTGGAAGAAAGCGAATGCCAGGAATTAACAGAGGACAAGAAACAGCTTGTGAGGAGACTGGGGTGCCCAGCACTTGGGAAGGTAACATTTTCAAACCACTGTAGGTGAGAGAGGGTCAAGTTTCCTGGGAATAGAAAAGAAAATCGAGAGCCAGTTAGGGAGAATTTAATGTCATTTGTTTCAGTCAAATAATAGTTATTGCATTTTTACTAAAGGTTCTGTTACACTTTACCTAGTGTTAGTGAAACTTTAATAACATGTAACTATAATTTACTATAACTCCTAGTTAAGACATTTTCATATTTCAGCTTTCCTTGGTCTCTGCCTTAGTATTGCTACTGGTTTGCCCGGCGGGCTCCCCAGTAGAGGATGGGCTCCCGAAAAGCAGATTCCGTTAAGTCCAGGACCGACCACGGTGCCTGACATAAGTACCTGACCTGTTCAATAACATGTTTCATTTAATGAATCCTAACTTCAAGTGTCACCAAACCACTCTGTTCAGGCACCATGGTTCAACCAAAAACACCTTCTGAATTGAACATATGAAGTCCAGGAAGAAATGAGTAGTTAATGTATAGACTGTCCTGCAGAACCACTTGTATTACGTGATGAAAAACACAGTGATGACAATGCTACAGAAGGTGACGTATGGCAGTGACCAAAGGGAGGGAAGGGCAGGAGCAAGGGTGTAGAGAAGAAAATGGTATCATTTCAAAGGAATGCAAAGACTGAATTAAACAAAGGGCAATTTCTAGAGAATGTCTAAGGACTGGTGTAATCTGAACAATCTATAACAAGTACAATTATTCTTAAAGTTTAAAACAATGAAGCACATTGAAATCATTCAGACAAAAGATAGCTCTCAATATATTTTGGCCACTTTACAAAAAGTATTAGTATTTAAAGGGCTTCTTTTAAATCAAAATATATACTCCTTGCTCAAAATTGGGCTGCTTCCTGAGTTGTAATTCTACAAGGCACAGAGAGAGAATAAAAGAGAAACAAGGAAGAAAAACAAAAAACCCATTATGTGTTATGTGAAAACCTGTGGCTATCATTTCAAATACCGTCTACAGAGAATTCAGTGTGTTTGGAGATTACTGAGTAACATCTATGCCACATATTTACGGATTTTTATAAAACAACAATATGGTCAACTTAGTGAGTACTTGAAAAACCATGAAAAGTAGATATGAAGTCATTTCCCAGAGAAAACAGATTAGGAACTTGCCTAACATCACAGTTAATGGTTACCAGAGCTGGGATTCGAATCCAGGCTGCCTGATAACCAAATGGAGTGCTTTTAGCTTTTGAGAAGTGACTTAAACTGTCACAAGGTTGGTTTTTTTCTTAAGAACAAAATGGTAATGATAATCCCTACCTATCTTCTAGGTTTAAAGTAAGGTTTTAATGAGACAATACAAGTAAATTGCTTTATAAATTGTACATTCCATGCAAAGCCAGACATTATTATTATGTTCAGACAGGATCCCACTTATAAATCAGGTTTATGTTACAAAAGATCATTAATGAGTCACCTGTTTAAGCACTGAAAATGTTTCATAGAAGCAGCGATCTAAGTGGTGATTAGCCTGCACTGTCCATTTAATTCATCGTATGCGGTCAGCACGGTGCCAACAGGGCGATCACAGGTTCACCTCTCAGACACATGTGCAGCAGCCAGGGCGGGGGCAAGACAGGAGCAAAAGTGCTCATGGGGACAAGAACTCAAGTTCTCTTCAGCTTCCCTCTAGGTCAGTTATTCTACAAATATTCTGAAGAGGGTGACAAAGGACAACTAACTGTCCCCACACCAGCCTCTGATAAATGGAAAGTGGAACTACGCAGAAGCTTGTTCAGAACTGTCAGTATATTCAGTGTTCTGAGAAAGCCTGACTTGTTTAAATCTTGAAACAAGAGCAGACTCTATGGGGAAAAAAAAATCAAATTAGTAGATTAGCAGATTAGTTTCTAAGTGACTGAAAAGACTAAAAATGAGAAACTATTGTTTTTAACCCTTCTTAGAGTGAGCTATACTCGTATATAGCTAAACCATAACAGTGATATTCAGGTGAAAAATTGCAGTTTATTTTCTGCATGAGAAATCATATATAGAAAGAGATACCTTTTCTGAGTCGGCTCAACAAGTTTTGATTGCTTTCTTCTTAATTTTGTTTGCAGTCCTGCTAAGTTTTCACACACAAAAACTATATAGATGAAAACTATTTTATTTAATCAATAATTTTCTTTCTCTAGTAAAAACAGAGTAAATTAATTTTCATATGTATCAGGACTCAATTCTGAAAAACTGTCAATGATTATAAATTGTTTTACTATTGGTAATACAAGATATTCTAACTTTCCTTAAAAGTTGGTAAAAGAACATGAATAGTACAAGTCTGTTACCTTACTGATTAAAATGTTTTTGCAAAAAGCAAACAAATATATTGTTTATGACAACTGTATACTACTTTAAAAACTTTAGTTTTAATGTCTTTGCATTCCTGATGGAGTTAAAAAAAATCATCCTTCTAACATTAGCTGTTTTGAAGTTCACATCTCTTATGTTTATGAACACGCCTCCTTGCTCTGAAGGCATTTCTTTACGCCTTTATTCAATAACAGTTATTATCATCTAAGATCATTCTGATCCTTTTCTTGTATTATCCCATTCTCAAGAAACCCATTTCACTCAGTTTCAACTTCAGTTCTAACATTTCATCAATGACACAAATGTAGAGGTATCCAAAAGGCAGGTTACACGAAAAACACGTTTGGTTTTGGAATGGTTTTGTGGTGGTTACCCTGGAATAAGAGTACGCTTAACAGCATTATAAAGGCCTAACTGGAGACTCTGGGAAGATGCCAGTTTATCCTTCATGCCATCCTACATACTTCATCTTATACTATTCCATTCTGGAAGGATTTTACTGTATTACTCATACTGTAATTAATAGTAGTGTGGGTAGAAACATATCCATCCCCACACGGAGCAGGCATTTACATATGTATGTGTATGATCGCAAAGTGGTGCTTCTCCACTGGAATATGAGGTAGAGAAAAGGTGAGCATCCAGAATTGGGTTGGACATGGCAGGAAAAATAAACATAAACCTTTAAAAAATCCCTAAGAGGGTATCCCACAGGAAATTGCTCAACTCATCCTCTGAAATAGACTTCTTTAAAACATAAATCCAAGCCTTCACCATTAATTTCCTTGGTTATTCCAGTAACCTCTTGCTTCTAACATCAATTCTTTTTAGTGAATATAGTTATTTTTCTTTTGCCTGTCTTTCTACTCAAGTCAAACACTTTGCTGGCTATTTCATGCATATAAATGGCTATCTCCTACCTGTGTTCATAAGATACACGAGTATATCACGTTCTCCTCTTTTTTGCTTCTATTTGCCAACATAATCCTCCCTTCTCAGGTGTTCATGAAGGCTCTCTGCCTAATCCAAGTACATTCTAGTGATATTTCTTCGAATCTTGTACTATTAACACCAATTTTATGTTCATATTAATTTGGTATAGGTTCTAAAAACTGTCCTTAATGAAGTTTGACCCTTAGCTCAAATAAATATATTAAAAACATTTAGGAATAGAAATGATTTCCTATTTTTTTTTCCATTAAAGGGTTCAAAGTGGCAAGAGAATGATTATGTGTATCGCACTCCATGACATAGATAGTTCAATGTGCTAAACATTGCAATAATTCAAGTTAAAGTTGTTGATTTGCAATAAGGCTAATTTCATTCAGCTGTGGGACAATGTAAAGAGGAAAATCTCTTTTATTTCCTAGCTAAAGATTTAGAATGAAATGTAACCTAGAGTTTAAAAGATTAATTCTAAGAGGAAAGAAACACTTATGTTTCTTAAGTTAGGGGAAAAGAACAGTAGAAGAAGCTAACTCAAAGTCAACTCACCAATATGAGCACCAATTAAATTGAGGTGTAGAGAGACAGGAACTGATATAAAATACCTCCTGTGTTTTAAGCACTGGGCAAGGTGCCTTCCACAACATTATTCATTTCATCTTCATAATGTCTCTAAGAAATAGGTGTGGTTATTCTCATTTGATATATAGAAACAGATTTATAGACCTTAAAGTAACTACCATAAAGTTATACTGCCATTAAGTTGTAAGAGAAAAGATATATAGTTATGAGAAACAATGACATTTTGGTCAGTTACAGACTGCATACATGACGCTGGTCCCATAAGACTGTAATGGAGTTGAACAAGTCCTATCACCTAGTGATGTCATAGCTGTCCTAACATCACAGTGCTACACGTTACTTGCATGTTTGTGGTGCTCCTGGTGTAAATGAACTTACTGCGCTGCCAGTCGTATAAAAGCACAGCACATGCAGTTACAGGAGTGGGCTATCCCATCTATGCTTGTGTAAGTGCACTCTATGTTTGCACAAGGACGAAATCGCCTAATGACGCATTTCACAGAATGAATCCCCATTGTGAAGTGGCATATGACTGTATTCCTAGAAGCTGTGTGACTCAGTTTTTCAGAGATGAACAGAGTAGATTCTGAAGACTAAAACGTTTCAAGACAAAAAAAGTGTATTCATAAAGGTAATTGAATCCATCTGGGAGTTCATAGGGATTTCACTCGTTCAACAACTTAGGTTTCCACATGGAAATTTACAATGGAATTTAAAGCATGATGAGGTTTTAAAGTTGTACTTGAAAAGTCAGTGACTCAGCTATTAGTTATGTTATAATTACCCAAGGACATACATGCAAAGGACGTTACAGTGATACTCGTATATATGTGAACTTTTCAAAACGATCTCAGGTAAAATAGCTAAGTTTTGGCTCAAAAGAGAGTCATAAAGATGGTTTCTCTTATTCTTCTGTAACTTCCAGACACCATCAATTATACAGAAATATTCTGAGGAGTAACATCAGCAAGATGGTGGACTAGGAGGCCCTAATGCTTATCTCTCACACGAAAAACACGCCAATAATAAACAAGTACAAACTGAAGAAAATGGCTCAGAGAAAGCTCTGGACTAAGAAGCAGTAGCAACAACCCTGCAGAGCTCAAAAATCGAGGAAGGCTGCATAAATAATATAGGAAGCATATGACCTGTGTCACCCCATCCCCCACTCAGGAGCAGCTTGGTACCAGGAAGGGAACAGGAGAACCCCAGCGAGCCTCTTTTTGCTACAGTCTTCCACAGACTTCACCAATGCTGATCCCAGCTGAGGGAGCTGCCCAGATCACCCACTCACCCAGGATCTACTCCCAGAGGCTGGCACTGTTGTGACAGTGAAACCTGCCCTTAGGAAGGAACCAAGTCACTGATGTGGGTTAGAGCTGCCAGTGCCCTGTGCTCTACTTCTGGCCCCAGATGCTGGCTATGTCCCACCATTACCAGGACAGTGTCTGCTGCCCTGAGCCCTGCTCACTGGGAACCAGATTGCAGCTCTGAACCATCACTGCCAGGGGTGCTGCCACTGCCCTGAGCCTAACCCCCACTGTCCCTGGATGGCAACTCAGACCCATCATTGCTGGGCTGTGCTGCCGCTGCCCTAGCCCATCTGCCCGGGTCCTGCCATGCAGCTTTATCAGACTACAACTGGGCTCATGTTGCTGCTGACCTGGGACTGCCCCGCTGGGGCCAGACATGAGACTGTGACCACTATCCTCAGGCTGTGCTGCAACTGCACCCTGGCCCTGACCCCAACCCACCACTGCACCTTGTCATCTCAGTGCCTATGCCACTGCTGCGTCCCTGCACACTGGCCAGTCACTACAGTGAGCTCTGAGACCCAGGTCCCAGTTCCATGGGATATCTGCACACGTGTGCACCCCCAGATGCCAGTGCCAGAGCCACAGCAGGTGCACCTGTGCCCCAGGACTCAGGCACTGTGGTAGTTCTGCATGCGCCCGATTCTGGGACCCCGGCTCCAATAAAGCTCTCTACCAGCATGCCAGGCCAGGGCCATGAAGGATTCCCTCAGCTAGAACTTACTCCCATGGGCAAAAAAGAACAGAAAGACCCCAACAGCCTTCACTTCCAAGGATCCCAGTAGCCCTACCTGCCTCTGCTACACACAGGACCTCCACCCCCGAAGTCTTGGCCACAGAAAATCCTTGCAATATGGCCAATGTCAACTTCAGCCACTGGAGCTGTACAGACTACACTACTGTGCCTTCTCGATACCAAAGACACTTCATCCCACCCAGCTGGCATCCTTGCAGCAACCTCCAGGTGACAGTCTTTCCCCACTGAAGCCAGTCCAAAAAGGCTATGAAAGGTGACTGCAACATCAAGTGCTCAGACATCAATGCAAACACATCAAAACCACAAAAAAGCAAGGAAACATGACACCACCAAAGGAATACTAATTAAAAAAAAAAAAGGACCCCAGAGAAATGGAGATTTGCAAGTTATTGAAAAGAGAATTTAAAATAATTATTTTAAGGAAGCTTAGTGAAATTCAAGAGAACACAGATGGACAACTCAATGAACTTAAAAGAAATGAGAAGTTTAGCAAAGAAATAAAAATCATAATAAAGAACAGAAATTCTGGAGCTTAAGAATACAATGAATGAAATAAAAAAATCCAACAGGTAGCTTCAACAGCAGGATCAATCAGGCAGAGGAAACAATCTGTGAGCTTAAAGACAGATACCTGGATAGTATTGAGTCAGAGGAGAATAAAGAAATTAGAATGAAAAAGAGTGAAGAAAGCCTAAGTGAACTGTGGGGCACCATAGTGAAAAAGGCATACCCACATTGTGGGGGTCTGAGAAAGAGAAGAGAAGGGAAAAGGGACAGAAAACTTATTTAAAGCAATAACAGCTGAAAACTTCCCAAATCTGGGGAGAGATATGGCCATCCAGGTACATGAAACTCAAACATCCCCAAAGAGATTCAAGAAAAGGAGATCTTCACCAAGACACATTATAATCAAGCTCTCAAAAATCAAAGACAACTAGAGAATTCTGTAAGCAGAAAGACAACAATATTCATCACATAAAAGGGAATCTTGGTAAGGCTGCAAGCAGATCTCAGCAGAAACCTTACAGGCCAGGAGAGAAAGGGATGGTTATAACTATAAGATATATAATGTAAGTCACACGGTTAACCACAGAGCCAAAACCTATAACAGATACACAAATGATTAAAAGAATCAAAGCAAAGTACTATACAAAATCATCAAGTCACAGACAGAGAATAAGGAACTACAGAACAACAAATCAACCACCAAGCAATTAACTAAATGCAACTGTAAGTTCTTAACTATCATTAATTACTCCAAATGTAAATAGTTTAAGTTCTTCCACTAAAAGACATAGTATAGCTGAATGAATAAAAAAACAAAACCCAACTATATGCTGCCTAAAAAACACTGACTCAAGCTTTAAGGACATTCACAGGCTGAAAGTGAAGGGAACAAAAAGGGTATTCCATGCAAATGGGAACCAAAAGAGTGCAATGTAGCTCTAATTATATCAGACAAAATAGACTTTAAAAACTGTAACAAAAGAGAAACCATGTCATTACATAATGATAAAGAGATTAATTCATCAGGAGTATATAACAATTGTAAACATATATACCAAATTTCAAAGCATCTAAATATATTAAACCATTATTAATAGATCTGAAGGGAGAAATAGAAAGCAATGCAATAATAGTAGAACTCAATATCCTACTTTCAACAATGGACAGAACACCCAGACAGAATATCAATAAGGAAATAATGTACCTGAATGACATTTTAGATCAAATGGACCTAACAGACATACAGACCGTTCCATTCAACAGCAGCAGAATACATATTCTTTTCAAGTGCACATGGAACACTTTCCAGGTTTGATTATATGATAGATCACAAAATATGTCTTAGCAAATTTAAGAAGACTGAAATCACACCAAGTATCTTTTCTAACAACAGTATGAAAACTAGAAATCAGTGACAGAAGGAAAGCTGGAAAATTCACAAATATATGGGGATTAGACAACACGCTCCTGAGCAACCAATGGGTCAAAATTAATCAAAAGGAAAATCAAGAATTATCTTGAAACAAAGTAAAATGGAAACACAACGTATCAAAACCTATGGGATGCATGAAAAGCAGTTTTAAGAAGGAGTTTATAATGATAACCACTTACGTTAAGAAACAAGAAAGATGTCAAATACACAACCTCACATTACACCCAAGGAATAAGAAAATGGATAAACGAAGCCCAAAGTTAGCAGAAGTAAGGAAATAACAAAAATCAGCACAGAAATAAATGAAATAGAGACCAGGAAAAAAACAATAGAAAAGATCAAAGAAACTAAGAGCTGGTTTTCCAAAAATATTTTAAAAATTGATAAACATTTAGCTAAATAAACTCACCAAGAAGAATGAGGACTGAAATAAAATGAAAAAAAGTTATACATGAAAGATGAGACATTACAACTGATACCACAAAAATACAAGGCTCCTGAGCAACTACTATGAACAATTATATACCAATAATTTAGATAACCTAGAAGAAATAAATTCATAGAAATATAACACCTACCAAGACTGAATCATGAAATATAGAAAATCTTAACAGATTACTAGTAAAAAGAGTAAATCAGTAATCAATCTCCCAGCACAGAAAACCCCAGGACCAGATGGTTTCTCTGGTGAATTCTACCAAACACTAAAGAAGAATTAATACCAATCCTTCTCAAACTCTTCCAAAAACCTGAAGAAGAGAGAACTTTCAACTCATTTTATGAGGTCAGCATTACCTTGATACCAAAGACACACAAGGATCAAGAAAAGAAAATTACAGACCAATATCCCTGAAGCACTGAAAAACAGAAAAATATGTCATGACTTTCCCGACGACCCAATAGATGCAAAATTCCTCAATAAAATATTAGCAAACCAAATTCAACAGCACAGCCAAAGGTTCATATACCACAATCAAGTGGGATTTATTCCAGGGATGCAAGGATGGTTCGACAAACACAAATCAATCAGTATGACATATCATGTTAATAAAATGAAGGAAAAAGATATAATCATCTCATTGCAGAAAAAACATTTGATAAAGTACAAAATTCTTTCATGATAAAACTGTTCAAAAACTTTGGTATAGAAGTAATGTTCCTCAGCATAATAAAGGCCATATATGACAAATCCACAGCTAACATATGCTCAATGGTGAAAAGTTAAAATCCTTTCTTCTAACACCAGGAATAAGATACAGATGCCCACTCTCTTCAACATAATTTTAGCAGTCCTAACCAGAGAAATTAGGCAAGAAAAAGAAATAAAAGGCAGAGAAATTGGAAAGGAAGAAGTAAAATTATCTATGTGTGCAGATGACATGATCTTATATATAAAAACCCTAATGCCTCCACTGAAAAAACTGTTAGAATAAATGATTTCAGTAAATTTGCAGGATACAAAATTCACATACATGTATCAGTTGCATTTCTATACACGAACAACAACCCATCTCAAAGAGAAATTAAGAAAGCAATCTAATTTACAATAGCATGGAAAACAATGAAATGAATAAATTTCACGAA